TTTTCTGTCTCTTTGTTTTTGTTTCTATGTATTAGATCAAACTTCTATGTCTCCCAGACTTTGTGGGGTGCTATTATATAGTAGCTCTTTTGTAGGCCCCCTTGGTGCAGTATCTTAAATCTCTTGAACAGGGTGCTCTAGAAAATACCCTTACTGATTTATCTGGGTTATCCTGTTATAGTTAGTCTTGAATATTATTGTCCCCTTATTTGATGGAGTCTTCTTTCAGGCTATGTGACTTACCCCCAACCATGTTGTGCACGCTATTGTCAAAGTGCTGATAGATCAGAGCAAAATATAACACAAGAAAACATGAAACAGAAGCAACAAAACAAAAATATACACAAGACCCATACAGTAACAACAAAAGCAACCTCTAGAGAAGAGAGAATTAGGAAACAGAATATAAGGCAAGAATGATGAGAAAAAAATAATGGAAATGTATGAGGAGAAAATGAAACAAAGCACAAACAAAAACAAAATGCTTGCCCCATGTTGCTCAGTGGTTGAGCATTGACTCAAGAATCAAGAGCCCACTTGTTGGATTCCCAGTCAGAGCACATGCCTAGGCTGCAGGCTCGATCCCCTTTGGGAGGCATTCAGGAGGCAGCCAATAATGATGTTTCTTATTGATGTTTATATCTCTCTGTCCCTCTCCCTTATTCTCTCTCTAAAAAAACAGCAAATAAATATTTTTTAAAGAGTGGGGAGAAAGGAATATGTAGATGCATATCTGTAATAAATATAAAGAATTACATGATTAGGGGAAGGAAAATGGTTTACGATAAAGAAGGAAAGAAAGGGCAAAAAAGAGAAATTTGGAAAAGGAAAATAGTGGAGAAAGTAGAATGACCTAAAATAAGAGAAGGGGAGAAAATGAGAAAACTGGAAAAAAAAATAAATGAGAGAAAGAAAAGGAAAAAAAAATGAGTAGTGAAAAAAGAGAAAAAAAATGAGTAAGAAAAAGGAAGAGAAAAATTAGATACATGAACAAAACAGCAGAGACTAGAATAATAACAAATCAGTAAAGCAGATAGATAAAGAAGATAAATTTAAAAAGGGACAAAAAGAAAACAATGCAGGGATCCTGAGGGTGGGACAGGCTGAATCATCTAGGGTGGGTTTTTTTTCTTTTCCTTTCCTGAGGCTACTGGGAGCAGCTAGCTCCTCTCAGAAAAAAAAAAATGCTGTTTCTGTTTGAAGGCCTATGACCAAATACTCCTGGCTGCTGCTTTTCCATGTCTCTCCACAGTGCTTCCCATCCTTAGGCACCTTGAGTCTCCTTCTCCCTCCCTATACCAAAACCTTGGGTGAGTAAATGAAAACTCCTGTGATCTGGGTTTAAAAAACAAAACAACAACAAAAACCGCATCCTTCTCTCCAGCTGGCTTTAGTCTACTGCCTCCAGACTCCATCACAACCAGAAACCCTGTGGCCTTTCATGGGTGGATGTTACATAAGCTGCTGGTCTCCTAGCCTTGTTCCAAGCTTCTATCCTCTGAGGGAACCTTCCATCCCATAGCTGGGAGCTCCCTCCTCACTCTTGATCCACTGGCCTGCCACCTGTGAAAGGTGGGTCAACTACTCTCATGACCTCACCCTTCCTACCAATCTCCAGGTATTTTCTGTCCTTCCTTGATGTAAGTCTCTTCCTTAGCTGGACCTCAGTTAGTAATTCCAGGTGAATGTTGTCCGATTTAGTTGTATTTACAGTCTGGCCCTGGGAGGAGCTGCACAATAGGTCTGACTACTCAGCCACCATTTTTTCTCCCCCCCTTGGCCCTGGGAGGAGCTGCACAATAGGTCTGACTACTCAGCCACCATTCCCCCCCCCCCTTGTTCACTCTTAATCTCCGTAATTGCATGCTTCATGTCCAGGATTTCTGATTGGTTCTTTTTTAAAATATACTTTTATTTATTTCAGAGAGGAAAAGAGAGGGAGAGAGTTAGAAACATCAATGATGACAGAGAATCATCTATCAGCTGCCTCTTGCAAGCCCCCTATCAGAGATTAAGCCTGTAACCCGGGCATGTGCTCTTGACTGGAATTGAACCCTGGACCCTTCAGTCCAAAGGTTGAAGTTCCAATCTCTTGAGTAAAGTACTCATTTTGTTCATTGAATTGTTTTCTGAGTGCACTGAATTGCTTATCTGAACTTTTTTTTGCATCTCGTTGAGTATTTTCAGAACTTTAATCTTGATATATCTGTCATTTATATCATATATTTCCATGTGTTCCAGCTTGCTTTCTGGGGATTTTTTGTTTTCTTTCTGATCATCCTCGTTCCTGTGGTTATTCATAGTATTTGCTGTTCTTCTTTGCCTAGGCATGAATGTCTATCTATATTAATGACCTCCTGTATAGCTGCTTTCTTTGAGGAGGTCTTTCTGCTATTTTCCAATAGATGGCACTGAATCACAAGATTTTTATCTCTGTGATCTCAGTCTTGACCTCCCCAGCTTCTGTATAGCAGTACAGCCACTCTGTTTAGGGGTGGCGTTTATTTTGCCCTCACCTGTTCTACTGCAACATCTCTTGGTTTATGGATAATATGCTCCTGGACCTGACTCCAAAGGCAATGGGAGATGAGTTTTGGGAGTCCAACTGACAGCAGGGCTCTGTGGTTCCATTTCTTTGTCTAAAACACCAGCAACCGGCTCAACATTGGAAAGCTGCATGGCAGAACCTCATATTGTCAGGAGTCTGCTGACTCAGACACTGTTTGCTCCCTCACTGCTCGCTGTACTAGGCTGCTCCCTGCAGTTCTCTGTTCCTCTTCGTTGAAGGAAGTGCTTGCTGCTGCCAGGTTTCTCCTTTTCCCAGTCAGGCCACACACTTTTGGCTACAGGGCTGATTCTATGGGGCATCTGTGCTTTCCTCCCTTTTCATTTCCTCACTTATTTCTGGTTGCCCACCTTTAAATGTTTCAATGCTTAGGTTTCTCAGACATGTGTCAGTGTTGAGCAGGGATTTCTTTTCGTTGAATCATAATTGGTTAACTTGTTGAAATTTTAGGAGGAGAAGATAAGGTTCACTATCATAAAATCATTCCTCTGATGTCACTTTTCAGAAGATTCTTAGCATTCTTCTGAAAGTTGTCATTTTCCTCCTAAGTCACACTTCTAAATATTCTCCAAAGTTCATCTGAAATGATTTTGTCTAGGGGTACCTGATTAAGATGCTATTACTCAAAATGACTTAGGACTGACATTTATTGTTTAGGCAGAGGCAGCTCTTTGAGATAAAAGGCTGACCCATTGGTATACCCCAGGATGTATGAGAGTTAATTTTTGCTCAGAGGAATACTTCAGAGAAAATTATCAAGCTGTTAGCCCAATTGAACAGATCCAAAGGGCAATTTTGAAGCTCATGGTATTCCAGAAATCAGTCTGCAAGGGTAGGTGTGGGCCACGGCACTTTGGAGGGGAGTTGGATATTAAAATGTGTCAGGGGTTGGAAAGACCACTGTTGCGTTTGATGACTCACTAGGAGGACCCACATGTATTTATAATCAGCAAAGGAATGAGGTATATGTGATGCACTTCTGAAGAAACCAGGCTTAAGCTTCCAAGTGCTCTCTTCCAGTGGAGTCACACAGGATACATTTAATTCCTCTAGACACTGTGCAATGTTGTCAGCCAGGGAAGCCATTTAGAGACTCAGCTAGTCACATAACAAAATTGCCAATTTTCCAGAGTAAAAGCAGATACTCAGCATCAGCCATTGTTTTTACAGCTTAGTCACAGTAACTAAACTATATCTGTTCTGGTTCTGATAAGAATCTTTTTGAAAGCCAAGTTCCCAGATCCCAGCCAAGGACCAACCTTATAAACAGGCATTTCTAAGGATAACACACTCTCAGGCTAGCTATATGACATATATATATATATATATATATATATATATATATATATATATATATATTAGGTGATCTAGATTCAATAAACAACTCATTCAAGCTGTTTCCAAATATCTTTAGACAAATTAATGAAAACTGAATAACATTTGTTCACCTACTTCCTCAGTTCAATATCAGAAGTCTTCAGGGCAAATATAATCATTCAGGCAAGCATGGAAATGGGTCATCTAAAGCCCCAGTACATGTGCTTCAGAACTTTGGTTGAATGTTGTACTTCTTCTGCATTTCTGAGACTGTCATGATGCCCCTGCTTCAGGAGTTTTCTGAGATAGTTCAACACAAGTTGTTGGGTAAATTGCTATTGTGACCTAGGTTATTATTTTTTATTTCTTCCTTTTCACCATTCTTCTTTATTCACCTATTACCATTGATTCCATTCATCAGAAGTCCTGACATGTGAATAGAGAGGAATATAGCCCATACTATTTTGTGAGACCACTAGTCATAATAATAGATATTTCTTGTTAAGTTGTATAATATGTATCAACTGACTTAATCCTCACAATTAACAATATCATAAATTAGATATTGTTGTTGTCCCAGTTTTACAGATGAGAAAATTGAGGCACGGAGATCATAAGTACAATCTTGAGTTCACCAAGACTAATGAAGCAGGGAGTGATTTAAACCCAATTAGTATGACCCCAGAGCCCACACTCTTTAACACTTCTCTTATATTGAAGGCCCAGAGTTGTCTTTAAGATAATCTGTTATATGGACTATATTCTTTTTGGTTCTGTCTTTGGTGTTTGTTTGTTTGTTATATTTTTATTGATTTCATAGAGAAGAAGGAAGAGGGAGAAAGAAATAGAAACATTAATGACAGAATTATTGATAGGCTACCTCCTGCATGCCCCCTACTGGGGATTAAGCCTGCATCCTGGGCATATGCCCTAACCAGGAGTTGAACCACAAACTCCTGGTTTATGGGTCAAGACTGAACCACTGAGCCATAGAGGCCAGCCTTACTCTTATATTTACTGGCCAATTCTCTTTAGTATTTTTATTCACGAAGTCTCTGAGTATTTTTTGCAAAGTAGATTTTTCCCAATAATTACTTTCATCTTTTATTATTTACAGTTATGTCAAGTCATACCTTCTTCCTGACAAGTCTAGAAATAATAAACGTAAGACCAAAATCAGAACAGGCATCAATCCAGAATTCAATGAAACACTAACGGTAAGTAAATAGTCTCTTATGGTAAGTCTTGTGATACTGTTCACAATTTCATTGGTTTAGAAGTAACTACAGAGAATTTGCACATATATTTTATAAAAGTATAATTTGAACAAACTAATGTAATACTCTTGGCTTTCCTAACAGTTTTTATTGGAAAAGAAACACTGTAAACCACTCTTACTTTGTTTATTTCTATCGATGCTAAAGTTGCAGCTTAAGTAGAGAAGATCCAGTAAAATTACATCTGAGCTGGTGCATCTTGTCCAAAAATATATTTTAACCTTTGGAAAACTGTTTTGTTTTTTTCTTAGTTCCCCACAAAAGGAAGTTTGTAACTGACTTAGCATGTCACTTTGTATGCACTCATTGTTCTGGTAACACAAAATGAATATGTGCTGTTTCTTATTAAGGTTTCAGAATTTGGCTTAATATAGGCATGTGGTTAATGAACCCTGGAGATGAAGAGTTAGATTTGAGATATATGAGAGAAAATGGCTGAGATAAGTTATGACTCTGGCCTCTATACTAGAAAAATTACTTTTCCCCATTGGCTTCCATGTAATAACACCATCTCTCACCCTGGACCAATCTAGACTGTTAAGAAAAATCATGGAGGCTAGAAGGTAGAGGTTATTGCTAGTAACAGGAAAATTTGTTAATCTTGTGGACAGAGTGATGGATCTAATGTCAGGCATAACAGGAAGTTGGTGAATGAGGGTATGTATCAGTGAAGTCATGTGCAGAAGCAGGAGGCAATATCAAGGCAGATAAAAATAAGAATAAATAAATATAGGGTTAATACAGTGACAATCATAGGATAGCAGAGCTGAGACCATAGAGAATAGATAAACAGAGTGACATGACAAATTCAGGAAGCATGAAGCTAAGATTAATCGTATCAGGAATAGCAAGGAATCAGTATAAATGAAAATCCAAGATCAGTAATTAGTTAGTCTGTCCTATATGGTAGTTAAACGAAACAAGCAGAAGGTTTAAGGGTGAATGAACATGTGGCCCTGGATAAATTCTACTGGAAAAGGAAAATCTACCTGAGCAATATTTTCTTTCTGTTCTTTCTATATTTACATTTACATTTTCATCTCTGCATTTAGGCTGGAATTTATGAAGTTTGTTGTTCATAAGTGTCTCACTGTTAGTACTTTTTTGGATATGTGAGTTCTCATTATGAATAAAATAAGACAGAGAAGTTGAAGAATTGATATATTAAATTTTAAGCTTATAAAATGGATGCCAAAAATAATTGGGCAAATGAAAACTAGGTAAAACTGGAAATGGGAAAAACTACATCACCTAACACTTTTTTATACAATATTTGAAGTTGATTGACTTCCCCCTAAATATATTTCAGTGCTAAGTCTAACACAAAATAAGCATATGGAATAGAACCTCAGTTGTAGTGGAAACAAAGAAAAAAATTTTTGGGTTTGATTTGTTCAATTACTAAAAAATCTGATCTAAAACGTGGTGAAAATAAATTTCAACCTGTTCTGGAATTGGCCAGAGCCTCCCATGTGGAATGTGATTTTGTCAATCTCATTTGCAGTATACTATCAGCCATACCCAACTGGAAACAAGAACACTGCAGCTCTCAGTCTGGCATTATGATCGATTTGGACATAACAGCTTCCTTGGGGAGGTGGAGATTCCTTTTGACTCATGGAACTTTGAAAATCCAAGTGATGAGTGGTTTGTACTTCAACCCAAGGTAATAAATGCTTCCAGATTAGTCGAACAGCTATGCAATGAGTCAAGTTATGATCCACATTGATGTCTTCCAGTTTGCAAGGGATAATCTGAAAAATTAGTACAGCTAATTTTAGAATAATATAATAAATGTAAATATATTCTTTTGGAAATCTTTCTTCAATACAGACTGACTGTATAATGCAAACCACATAGTCATATATATTATTAATAGGTTTTACTAAAAATATAGTCATCATTTGGAGGTCTCTATTGACAAACAGAATAAATACATGATATGATCTTATTAGAAAGAGAAAGCATTCATTTTCACATAAGCAAAAATAAATCCATAGATTAAGATCAGTGTCAAAACATTCTATCCCCCATTCTTCATAATTCAGACATAAGCAGGAGTTGTTTTACTTTGGCTCACATGAGGATGTGACCAATAGCTATGTGTCTGGTTTCCTACTTTCCTACTTTTGAGATTTATAACCCAGGAATTGAGTTATAGTCAGGAAAATAATCTCAAAGCTTGTTCTAGAAATTGATAATATAGTATGTTCAAAACTACCTTGTATTCACTCAATGCAGCTTGAGTCTTTCTACATGTAGTCAAGAGTAAAGTGGAAAAAGATTATATTTACATAACCAAACATTTTTTCTTTATATAGAAAGACAAAAGAAAAAAAACAAACATGATGGTAAAGATAATAGACTCAAATGAAAATTCCTGAGTTTAATCCTAGCAGCTTCATGATTCTCTGTGTGACCTTGGGCAAATTCCTTGACTTCCTTAGCATTCTCATTTGTGATATAATAATTGAACAGAGCTTATAGGGATGCTGCAAGGCTTGAATATGCATTTTATGTGATGCTTGCAGTATTGTGTCTGGCACATTGTAAAATACCAATAAGTGCTAGGTAATATCTATATTATATCATAGTTCCCTTATTGAAATTGACAGAAATCCCAACCCATACTGCTCAAAAAGTAAAAAAAAAAATTAAAAAAAATTGTTGGTCAGTGATTATCAAGAGTGGCTTGATCCAGATACTCAGGTCTCTTTTCTCTGTGTTGACTTAATTTTAAAACTCATACAGTATTTGCCTTCTTCACTAGCTCCAGGTATGTTTCTTCTGGACATTACACAATTTCAAGCCTCCCATCCTAGCACCACACTGTCTAAGAGAAAAGGGAGTTCCTCCTCCTCCAATACTCTAACCAATACCCTCGGCCTGGTTCTCCTAATCCTAGATTATTTGTCCATCTTGAGATGACTCTGTGGCCATAGAAATGAGCTACATTGACTTATTTAAAACAATCAGAACATACCCTGGTCCTAAAGGTGGTATTTCCCCAGAGGAAATCCAGGTATAGTAATACTAAAGGAATGATGAGTGGATGCTAGACAGGAAAAAGCAAAGTTTGGGTATCAACAATAACAAAGCTTGATCATCATCAGTAGAAGCATTGTTCACATCTAATGGTTACAACAACCATTGTGAGCTAAGTATCATTATCCTTATTCTAATATATAAAAACCCTGGGTCCATCACATCTGCAACAACTGGGAGTGGCTACCCAGCACTGACTGCTATGGCTGCAGGCATGGTGACCCAGCACTGACTGCTGAGGGGGCTGCAAATCAGGCATGAAAAGAGACCTGAAGAGAGAAGCAGGGTCTGATTTGTAGCCTCTGTGGCAGCTGTTGAACAGCACTTGACTCTCTTTTTGGCTGTGGACCTGGTTAGTAGCCGCACCCCCATTTCTCCCCAGGCCTCCACCAGGGCTGCTGATCATCCCTGCCTTTCTAATCAGGCCCCGTTGATAGGCCCAGAGATGCTGACAGGCATAGAAACTGACCATTCAGAACCAAATCTGGGTCAACTGTGAGGAGCCAATGGCTGCTTTTGACACTGATTGGCATAAAAACCCACTAATCAAAACTAAATTGGCTGTCAGAAGAGGGCAGTTGGGGGTGAGATCAGGGTGGCAAGGGAGGGCAGTTGGGGCAACTAGGCCAGTAGGGGAGGACAGTTGAGGGGACCATGCCTGCAGGGGAGGTGGTTGAGGGCCATCAAGTCAGCAGGGGTGTGGTTAGGGGGTGATTAGGCAGCCAGACAAGCAGGCAAGCAGTTAGGAGTCAGCAGTCACAGATTGTGAGAGGGATGTCACGTCTAAACCAGCAGTTGGACATCCCCCAAGGGGTCCCAGATTGGAGAGGGTGCAGGCTGGGCTGAGGGACAGCCACCTCCCTGCACTAATTCCATGCACTGGGCCTCTAGTTATTGTGTTTTTTTCTTGCTTAGAAAAAAAACTTTATTATGTAATCTTTCTACAGCTCTTTGTTTTATATAAGGAGACTAAGACCCAGAAATTAAATATAACTTTCTAGTGGGATTTTATAAATGTTGGTCTCAAACATGGTGGAAGCAACTAATGAAAAAATATATAGGAGGTATAATTTGGCTGTGGGTAAAATCAACAAAAATGTAATAAAAATATTTAAACATAAAATAACTCAAACCCATGACTAACATAAATGTGATAGAGATACAAAGTATAGTAATAACAACAAATGAATCCACAATAGCATAACAGTCTTCTGACATTAATTATGGAAAATATTTGGTCATTATAGCTTTACATTTATTGGAATTGAATGAAATGACTCACCACAATATATAGCATTTAATGTGACCTAACAATCTGCTAACACTTCATTCCTTGTGTGTATGGCTAAACATCACAGAATCACAGTTAGAAAATGTCTTAGGATTTTCTGGGGAACCCAGAGTAGACACTTTGCTTGCATCTTTCTTGCTACCATTTTCCTGTACACACACCTCTAACTATACTTGACATTATTTTGCTTCTTATACATGTTCTACACAGCTCCCACTGTATTTTGCTCATACTGCTTTCTTGAACTGGACTAACTTCCTTTCCACTCTATCTGAATCTGACATAATCTCTTCTAACCCAATCTGGATTACTCTTTTTCTTCCCACAGTGGTTTACTTGTACTTAATTGGAGCAACTGTCATCATTTGTATGACATTGAGCTTGCTATGTTGTAGAAGCCTAGGAGAAAACTCCCAGCAATCAGAACTTATAGTAGGTCAATTAATAAAGAAAGTCACATAACATACACATACAAACACACATATCCAATATGTTTCTTAAATGTTTATCTTAACCTAAATAAATGTGCATTTGTTTTCAAGTCTTTTAATATAGGAACAATTCATTTTATTTGAGCATGATTTCAGTTATTAAAATTCTGTCATATCTTTCTAGCATAAATTCTACCCCTTGTAAATAATCATCAACAGTTTCTAATTTGAATTTCTCCACAGGGAAACAAGAATTTAAGAATACTTTCAAAGTAAACCAAATATAAAATCTTTCTTAGTCATATTTGTTTTAATCTTTTATAGCTTTGAGCCCAAATATAATCCAATAGCTAATTTATTTTAAAATCTTTACTTTTTTTTAAAATATTCAACTTAATTTTTATAGTAACAGATAACATTTTTGTACTCTTTGGTTTATTATACAATTAGAACCATAAAGATACCTGGTATAAAGTACTTGAGAGACTAATGCAGATGATTGTTGATGAGCATGCAGTTAACTAATGGTGCAGACTTAGTAGAAAGTGCATGGTCTTAGTAGAAAGGAACTCACTCTTTATTGGAAATGGAGAGCATTAAATAATCTGATGAATCAGTTAAATGACAGAATGCCCAGCTAGAGTGGCTCAATGGTTGAGCAACGGCCTATGAACCAGGAGGTCACAGTTCAATTCATGGTCAGGGCACATGCATGGGTTTCGGGCTCTCTCCCCAGTAGAGGGTGTGCAGAAGGCAGCTAACCAATATTCTCTCTCATCACTGATGTTTCTATCTCCCTCTCCCTTCCTTTCTAAAATCAATAAAAACATGTTTAAAAAAATAAGGACAATGATAGAGCTTCTTTCTGTAGGTGTCCTGGATAGAATGAAAATTCATTGAAAGCAGGGTCTATGGCTTAGTATCCCTCCAAAACCTGACAAAATGCCTTAAAAGAATTACTACAAGAAGGCATTTCATATTTGTTGGTTGAATGTAATTCTGCTACTTTTGTCTGAGAAGGAATTGCCTAGTGATATACAAAGATAGCATGGTGCCTTGGAATTCTCTTCCAAGAGTAAAAACAATACCCCTAAGCATTAGATATGTGCAGGGTGCAAGATGACTTCTCCCTCTTGACTTTCCTTTGCATGTGATTATGAAGCTATAGAACTTCATATTTATTGTTTTTTAATCTACACTAATAAAAGAGAAACATACAAATTAACCATCACTCCACTGTGCCCACTAGCAAATGAGTGAGTATGCAAATTAACCCAACTAATATGGCAGCCGCCATGGAGCTGGAGCAAGCAGGAGGTTTGGGTTTCCCCTGGCGATGGAGGAAGCCAGGTTTACCACCTGCCCTGCCAGCCCTGGCCTCTGCTCAAGGCTACAAATATTCAATTATAGAATATAAATAAATCCCAGATACCTACTTCTTGCTGGCCCTGGTCTATGCTTGGATCACAGGGGGACTTGGCCGGCCTGCAAATCACCACAGGCCCCTGACCCAAGCTGCCCTATGCCCCAAGGGAACCCCCACCTTGATCTGGGACACTTTTCAGGGAAAACCAGATGGGCCCCACCCATGCACCAGGCCCCTACCTATCTAATAAAAGTGTAATATGCAAATTTTCTGTCACTCCAACACACAAGATGGCTGTCCCTATGTGGTCAAAGATGGCTGCCTCCATGTGGACACAAGATGCCAGCAGTGGAGGGCAGTTGGAAGGGACCAAGCCTACAAGGAAGGGCAGTTGGGGGCAATAAAGCCTGCAGGGGAGGGCAATTAGGGGTGACCAGGCTGGCAGGGGAGGAAAGTTGGAGGAGACCAGACCAGCAAGGGATAGCAGTTAGGGGCAATGAGGCTGGCTGGCTGAGGGGGGCAGTTAGGGGTGACCTGGTTGGCAAGGGAAGGCAGTTAGGAGGGGACCAGGCCTGCAGGGGAGGGAATTTTGGGGCATTTGGGCTGACAGGGGAGCAGTTAGGTATCAATCATCCTGGCAGGGGAGTGGTTACGGGGTGATCAGGCTGGCAGAAGAAGCGGTTAGGGGCAATCATGGAGGCAGGCAGACAAGCAGTTGGTAGCCAGCAGTCCTGGATTGTGAGAGGGAAGTCTGCCTGGGATTGGGCCTTAACAGGCAGTCTGACATCCCTTAAGGGGGTCCAGATTGGAGAGAGTGCAGGCTGGGCTGAAGGACATTCCTCCCAACCCCCCGGCATGAATTTTGTACACTAGTTTTATAACATTTGAAGACTCTATTTATATAAATTCACCAGTATATTTTAAGCTAAAAACCAATGAAACATTAAGAAATCCTACTATTACACTTTAAAAAAAATATATATGTTTTTATTGATTTGAGAGAAAGAGGAAAGGGGAGAGAGTGAAAGAAATATTGATTGACTGACTCTTGCATGCCCCCACTGAGGATCGGGCCCACAACCTAGGCATGTGCCCTGACCAGCATTCGAACTAGTGACCTTTTGATTCATGGGTCAATGCTCAACTGTTGAGCCATACTGGCCAGGCACCAGTAATCCATGTTTTGATCCCTACTAATACACTATATATTAGTATATGACACCTGCACATATCACTGTTTTCTACCAACAAATTTTCCCACCCAAAGGTCTCAGCCAAAAGCAAATAGAGCCTGTTCCCAGATGTACAAAAACTAACCTAAACCTTAGTGGTGTAAAACAATAATTTATTATTATCATTCATGATTCTGTGGCGTAGCTGTACTCACCTAGTAAGTGGTTCTCTTTTAGGGTCTATCATGTGGTCACAGCCAGATAGGAGAATAAGGCTGAAGTTATCTTAAAGGTTGGCCAAGCTGGTCCAGTTGGCTGTGCCAAATTTGATGTTGGCTGCCAGATAGGAACTCAGCCCTGACAATAGGTGCATCTACATGTAGCTTGGGTCTCTATCATGAGTTTTTAGAGAGAACATACCAAGAATATCTATTCTAGGCAATAAAGTAGAAGCTGTTAATCTTAAGGCTCAGGACCAAAAACTGACACACTGTCACTTCTGCTACCAGTCAAAGCAATCACAGAGCCCATTCAAATCCAAAAAGAAAGGACAAATACCCCATTTCTCATTAGCTACAGTACCAAAAAAGTAATGACCTTTTTAATCTGCCATAGTATCCATTATAATTTTCCATTTATGACATTCTCATGAACTAAAATTAATTGAAACTTCAAAACAATAAGAGAAGTCCTTTACAAAGCACTTGTTCTAAAATAATCAGATTAAATATTAGATGGAGAGTTTGTTTCACCATGTAATCTCATTTTTCCCCTGGCAAGATGGATGAATAAAATACTTAAATGATTTCCCACACTTAATAATTTTTATCATAATCAAGAGGAAAGACAAACAAGGATTCCTTTTGGTCTTTTCTTTCATTTTTTCCCCCCCTGAGGCTTGAAGAGTTTCTGGGTTTGCTGTTAATTTTTAGATTTCTGATTTTTTTTCAGTCTGTATTCTCTCAGAAGAAAGTAGTGCTCAAACCCTTGGCTCAGTACTAAGGAGTCAGATTCCTTAATAAAGATTCTTAGAAAGTACATAACTTTTCTTAGACTAATTATCAAGAATTAAAGTTCAGTTGATTCAGTGGCAAGTCGGATACCTACAGAGCATATGCTCTTGATTCACATTTTTTTAAATTTAAACTTTTGATTTTGGGATTACTATAGATCAACATGAATTTTTAATAAGTAATACAGAGAGATCTTATATAGCCATTATCCAATTTCCCTCAATATCACAGTCAAGGTACTGACATTGATATAATATAATCTACCAATTTTATTCAGATCTCCTCAATTTTCATTTGTGTCTGTGCTTATGTATTTATTTCTATGCCAGTTTATCACATGTGTAGCTTTGTATATCCACCACACAGCCAAGGTACATAACAGTTCCATCATCACAAAATCCCTCATGTTCTTTTATAATGACACCCACTTTCCTCCTAGCAACCATTAATCTGTTCTCTATATCTATTCTTTTGTAATTTTAAGAATGTAATATAAATAAAATTATATAGTGTCTATCCTTTTGATACTGTCTTTTTGTAACTCAGCATAATTTTCTAGAGATCTAAGTTTTGAATATCATTAGTCATTCCTTTTGACTGCTTAGTAGTAGTGTATGGTATATATATATATATATATATATATATATATATATATATATCAGTTAATTTAAACATCCACTTCTTGAGGGTCTTCTAGGTAGTTTCCAGTGTGTTACTATAATAAATAAAGATGATACAACTATTTGTGTACTGGTTTTTATGTGCATATAATCTTTTATTTCTCTAGAATAAATGCAATTTCTAGGTTGTATGGCAGTTACATATTTATTCTTTTAAGAAACTGCCAAACTATTTTCCAGATTGGCTACACCATTCTACATTTCTACCAGCAATGTCTTAGTGAATTAGTTTTTCCACACTGAATTTTGGTGATGTGAATTATGATTGGTGTCTGGTAGCCCAACGTGAATCAAGCATTACTGTGTACTTTCCCCTTATTAGTCACTTATAAAAGCCTTGGGAGATCAAGGACAGACATCTCCTATCAAATTCTTTTTAATTTAATGTTAAAAGTTATATGTAAATGCCTTCTTAGAGTTTTCAGCCTCTCTTTTCTCATACCTAAGGCATTTCTTAAACCAGTAAGTGCTAACATAGTTGAATGGGAATGGATTGTCACATTTAAATCACCAAGTAAATGTTGTACAAATATGGGCTACAAAATAACAAAACAAATATTTTCACTTTTTCTTTTTTTATGTATCCCCTTGGCCAGATGGAATTATCTACTGACATTGGCCTTCAATACAGAGGAGAGCTGACAGTTGTTTTACGTTATATTCCACCAGATGAATACCTGATGTTCCCACCAGGACAACTTCAAGGTAAAGTAAAAATAAATGCCTTTAATCAGAGCATACTGTTTTAGAAGTGTGAGAATAGGGATCAGAGATTATTTGGACTCTGTTACTTTTGCAGTGCACACATGAAATGTAAAGGTTTAGGTGTCACTGACTTTTGAGGATAGTTGAGATGCACTATATATGGAGAAGGATGGGGGATTCTAAGTTCATACTTAGAAAATAGCCTTAATGGCAACATTTGTTTCTTTGAAGTCCAGGAGATATAGGATCTTCCCTAGGGATAGGGTTGTCTCAGAGAGGGGAAGTATAGATAGCTGCTGTATGGATAAATGGCATTCACAGCTACCCAGCAAGTCTTGAGGAAGATACTGATCTAGAACACAGAATGTAAAGGAAAAATCCAGAGGGAGTCAACTTTTAAATCCCTTTTGCTTTTCTCCTTCCATCAATTCCTATAAGGCAGTCTTCTCTATCCTTCCATTCACTATCACCCTCTTCATTGTGACCCTGTGTACGTAACTTACTATATATCGGCCTCAGTTTCCTTACTTCATAGGGACATTGCAAGAATTCAATAGGATCATTTATAAAACTGCTTAAAATTGTACAAAATAAAGGTGGTGGTGGTTATTATTCAGGTTGAGCACATTTCACAATAAAAACTAGAGGCCTTGTGTACGAATTCATGCACAGGTGAGGTTCCTCAGCCTGGCCGGTGATTGAGGTCTATTAGGGGGTTGGTCAGGGGGAGGGACGGTGGGAGATTAGCTGGCCAAGGGAAGGGGCTGTGGGAGGTTAGCCAGCCAGGGGGAGGGGCCACAGGAGTTTGGCCAGTGGGCAGAAAGGGCTGCAAGAGGTTGGCCATCCAGGAGGAGGGGTCGTGGGAGGTTGGCTGGCCAGAAGGAGGGGTTGCAGGAGGTTGGCCAGCCATGCCCTCAGTTGGGGCCAATAGGGGGCAGCCAGCCGGAGGTGAGTGTTGGCCGGCCAATGGGGAGGCTGCGGGAGGGTGGCTGGCGGGAGGGAGGGGCCGTGGGAGGTTGACTGTGGGAGTGCACTGACCATCAGGGGACAGCTCCTGCATTGAGTGTCTGTCCCCTGGTGGTCAGTGCATATCATAGTGATTGGTCTACCAGTGGCTCCGGTCATTCCGGTCATTTGGTCATAACGGTCACTTAGGCATATATATGTATAAATGATGTAGAAAAAATTGGCCCTGCATGGAGATGGCAATTTACAAGATTAAAATTTCAAAGAAGAGAGTTATGGAAATTTCCCTTTCAGAGCCTTGATGCTTGTGTATGGTTTTCATTGTAGTTAATGTCCAATGAGAGCAGGAATGTGGCCCAGGCAACTCTCAGGATCATTGCATTTTATTATTTTATAGTTTGTGAAAAGATAATTTGCAGAGGAGTACTTACAGTTTTAAATTTGTTTATTTTTCCCAACAAATACACACACAAAAAGTCATATATAGAAGGAATCCAATGGGATAAAAATAAATTAAATCAATACATGGAAAAATACACAATAATATTAAGATAACTATTACATATTTAAGTCTGAAATGTGAAATCTTTTGTTATTAATGTGAAACTTTAGCCTTGGAAAATTCAATATTTGTGATCACTGTGTCAAAATACAATCCACCTTAGCTTAAATAGTTGGAAAGTGATAGAGAACCTCAAATGAAATTTGCGTCCAAAGATCACATATCTTTCTGGGGGATTTCCTCACAAACCCCAGAAGGCCTCAGAATCATATCATAAAATTTATTCCCCCCAAGCATTATTGAGATATAATTGATAAAAATACTGTCTGATCTCATATGTGAAATCTCAAAAATGTCAAAGTCATAGGAGCAGAGTGTAAAGCAGTGGTAACATGGGGCTGGGGCAAGGGGAGAATGGGTAGAAGTTACTCAAAGGGTACAAACTTTCACTTTGGAGCAGAATAAGTTCTGGAGATCTAATGTACAGCATGGTGACTATAGCTAATGATGATATATTATATATTTGAAATTGGCTAAAAGAGTAAATCAAGTGTTCTCACCAAACCTAATTAAAAAGATAAGTATGTGTTAACACCTGATTCAATCAGCAAATGAAGTAACTCTGTACTTTTTTAGTAAATTTTTAAATAGAACTCATGATCTATCTCCCTCCTCCTCCCCCTCCCTCCTCCTCCCCCTCCCTCCTCCTCCCCCTCCTCCTCTTCCTCCTCCTCCTTTTCTCCTTCTCCTTCTCCTTCTCCTTCTCCTTCTCCTTCTCCTTCTTCTTCCTTCTCCTCCTCCTCCTCCTCCTCCTCCTCCTCCTCCTCCTCCTCCTCCTCCTCCTTCTTCTTCTTCTTCTTCTTCTTCTTCTTCTTCTTCTTCTTCTTCTTCCTCTCTCTCTCTCTCTCTCTCTCTCTCTCTCTCTCTCTCTCTCTCTCTCTCTCTCATTTTGATAGCTCACACAGGAAAGAAGGCCTTTAAAATTGGAAAGAAGAAACCACCTGTACTCTCTGGAGGAATACTAGAAGTGTTCATCAAAGAGGCAAAGAATTTGACAGTGGTGAAGTCAGGAGGCACTGCAGATAGCTTTGTGAAGGGGTAATTTTGTTTAGGTCATTTTAGATGATATCTCATGGGAAATGAAATTATCTGTGATAATTTCAGTGCTGATATGTTCTTCTTATTTGAAATGAACTAAGAAAGAGTTACCCTGGAATGCTGACTCTTCCATATAAAGCCATACGAGTATAAAGGGAATTACATTTTTTAGCTTTCAGCCTGCTTCCAGAATATTTCAGGAATTCCCATCACTTTCATCTTCATGACTGGCAAATTTTCATGTGCAATTTAGTTTTTGGAGGAGGCGAAAATATGATTAATATATTTTAATGTAATTCTATGTTTAATATAATTTTATTATTATTTATTATCATTTTGTGCTGGAAATATGCAACAAAAAGAAAAATATTAGATAGTTGGGGTTTTGCTCCCTTGTGGGAAATAATAAGACCTTCTCAGAGCATCCTCCCCAGAGATACCAACTGGATAGTGCTCTGGAGAAGGTCTGTGACTGCCTGTTAAAAATTTGTGCTCACTTTATGGAGCACAAGGGAGTTCTTGAGGGAATACAAGCCCTTTAAATGGACAGTCTTGTCAATTCTAAGCAACCCAAACAATGAATATATCTTGATTTTTATATGAGATTTTCTTCTATAATTAGAATAACTAGAATCAGAAGGCTATTTTTAATTCATTCAAACAAACACATATGCACATGTACCAAGAAGAAAGTACTACAATATCAGAAATAAGATATAATCCTTGATTTAATGGAGTACCATAAAATACATGAGGCCAAACAGATTCCCATGAGGTTAATTCTTTAAGTAAATGATAGTATTATTCCTCTCCTCAATTCTTCTTTGAAAAATATAATTTTTTTTTCTACAAGGAAATGAGGGAAACCTTTACCTTCACATGTTCCAATTTTTATAAGAAAAAAAGTAAAGTAATAGAACATGGTGGCTGGCAGGATGGGAGTGAGGGCAAAAGCGGTAGTAAAGGAGTAACAGGAGGATGTGTGTATGTGCACAGTGTTTGTGTTTGTGAGGGATAGTTAGATTTCACAAGAGTCTTGGGGACTGGCAGATCATACTCTCCTTGACAAATAGCCCCTGTTATTGCCACAGGCACTCTCTTGGAGGGCATGGGGATGGCATGGAAACCATGCCATCTTGAAGGGGGAGAGCAGTGGTGGCTAGGAGTATAGATTCACCATCAACCAGACTGACATTGGACACAACCTTAGACCCACCGCACCTGAACAGTGAGCAGCACACCAGTGGGAACTATAAAGGGACTCCCTCCACAGGCTCTGGGGACTGCCTCCCCCCCGCCCACACACACACAGTGAGCTGCACACCACTCCTAATGTGAGTTCTAAGATTCGCCACAGTGATTCACAGAGTCACTGGACATCCTGGTGCAGGCTCCAGGGCTGTACAGTGAGTTGCATGCCAGTGGAACCTTGTAGGTGACTCTGTGAGCTGGGACTCTGAGCACATCCACAGCAGCTTTCATGGCAAAGTTGGGGTGAGCCACATAGTCAGTCAACCTGTGAGGAGACTCCATCCAAAAATGGGACAACAACATACAAGACCCAACTACATCAGGAGAATCCAAGTAACTCAAGTAAGGGGCTTTCCTAGAACAGCCAGTTCAAGAGATAGAGACTCCACCACTGGGTCCCACGAAACACCTACTACATAAGACTACCTCCAAAAAAGCTGGGTGACATAGCAGTTTGATCTAAGACAAGGAAACAAATACAAAGGGACAGCAAAAAAGGGGGGATACAAAGAAACAATCCACAAAGGAAAGACATAAGAAGGAATCATGAGAAAAGGAACTAAATTAAATGGAGGCAAATAATTAGTGATATAAAGAATCCAAAGTAATGGTTGTAACGATGCTAAATCACCTGTCTGAGAATTACAAGCAACTCAATGAGAATTATAAGGAGCTGAATGAGAAAAAAAAAACAAAATGGATAAGAATCAAGGGGAAACGAAGAATGACATAGCTGCAATAAAGGACATCCTGGAAGGTTTCATTAGTAGACTATATGAAGCTGAGGAACAAATCAATGAGTTAGAAGACAGGGTAGGAAAAAAACAACACCCAGTCAGAGCAGCAATTGGCAAAAAATTTAAAAAGCAGGAGGATATAAAAAACTTATATAACCCAACAAACAGAAAACAAATAATCCAATTAAAACATTGGCAAAGGACTTAAATAGACACTTCTCCAAAGTGGATATAGAGATGGCCAAGAGACATATGAAAAAATGCTCAAAGTCACTGATCATCAGAGATGCAAATTAAAATTACAATGAGGCATCACCTCACACCGTTCAGAATGGCTACCATCAACCATGACAAGTGCTGGCAATAATGTGGGGGAAAGGAGACCCTAGTACACTGCTGGTGGGAAAGCAGACTGGTACTGCCATTACAGAAAACAGTCTGGAGTTCCCTCAAAAAATTAAATACAGAACTGTCATTTAACCCAGTGATCCCACTTCTAGAAATATGTTCTAAGAAACCCAAAACACCAATCAGAAAGAATGGATGTACCCCTATGTATCAAGTATCATATGATCTCACTCAGATGTGGAATCTAATGAACAAAATAAACTGATGAATGGAGTGGATCCAAAGACATGGAAACATGGAACAGAGGGCAGAATCTTGGAGGGAAGGTGGGGGAGGGTGGATGGGTGGGAGGTAATCAACCAAAGACCTTTTATGCATATATGCATAACCCATGGACACAGACAGTAGGGTGGTGAAAGCCTGGGACAAGGGATGGTAGCAGGCTGAAAGGCATCAATGGGGGGAAAATGGGACATATGTAATACTTTCAACAATAAATATTTTAAAAAATAATAATAAAAAGCAGGAGGAGAGTTTAAGGCAGCTTTGGGACAACATCAAACAAAGCATCATCTGCACAATAGGGGTCTCAGAAGGAGAAGAAGCTGAGCAAGGAATAGAAAAAACTGTTTTAAGAAATAATGACAGAATTTCCCTACTTTGGGAAGAAAAATTCACACAAGACCAGGAAGCACTGAGAGTCTCAAACATAAGTACAATATAATGAACAACATAAACTGATGAACAAAAATACATCCAGAGACATAGAAGAATTGAACAGACTGTCAAGCCTCAGGGGCAAGGCAGGGGAGGGTTGGTGGGTGGGTAGAGATCAACCAATTGACTTGTATGCATATATGCATAACCCATGGACACAGACAATAGGGTGTTGAAGGCCTACTGTAGGGGGCGGGAGCAGGCTAGGAGAGGCCAATGGGTTATGCATATATGTTGAGACATAATACTCTCAACAATAAATATTTTTAAATTAAATTTAAAAATTAGACAAATAATAAGGAGAAGCATATGTCTGATGAGTGTGTGTGCCTGAATCCTGGTCATACACTCATTCTCATATTAGTGAGATACTTTATTTGGATCCTGATGTTGCAATTTGCCTCACCAGCACTACCATCCAATTCAGGGTTCTTTCTTCTAACTGCCTGATGGGATGAGGAGATGACTCCCTGCTTATGCCTCATTGTGGCCTTGTAGGGATGACTTAACATCGCCTATAATTGTTGTTACTTTATTATGTTGAGCATTTATTAAGCAGATATAACAAAGAACATATATAAATTTTTAAAAGATAGTAACTTTCTAGTAAATTCTCTCTCTAGTTACATTTTAACATTGAGATGATTTTAAAGCAGGGTTGCAGAATGTCCAGCCTCTGAAATCATTTGTTCTGGCCATGCCAAGGCATTAAGGTTGAGTTAATTAAATGATTGACCAAATATAGCAGGCTAATGTTTAAGTTGATAATTTTGTTTGGCCTGCAAATGCTGTTATAAATATCCAAATGGACCTTGGCAGAAAAAAGGTTCCCACACCTGTTTTAAAGGGACTTCAGGTGTTGTTTTTGTTTGTTTGTTTGTTTTTTTGTTGTTTTTTTAAGAGCCTGAAAGAGCAAGAATTGAAAAGGAAGTAGAAGAAAAAAAAAAGATCACAAATATGAACAATAAAATGTTAACAAATACAACAATTTAACTTAAAAATCAAAATGAACAAACAAGGAATCTAATGAACTAAAAATGATGAATAAAATAGAATTAAAGGCATGGAAACATGGAACAGATTGACAAATCTCATAGGGAATGGGGGAGGAGGGTTATGAACAGATTAACCAAAGAAAATGGGATGATGAAGTCCTTGGGAGGGATGGGATCTGGATGGAAGAGGACAATGGGGTGGAAAAAGGGGGACATCTGTAATACTTTCATCAGTAAAGATTAAATAAATAAAATTTTAAAAGAAAAAATATTACATTTTTCCTTTTCTCCCAACTATCCTAATAAAAAGGAAAAGTGACTGTGGGCTCCTATTGCTCCACCTAAAAGAAATAATAAATCATCCCACTAAGTAAATCCAAATTTAGGTATATAAAAATCTGAGAGAGAAAATCTAATACATATATCACACTGACAAACTTGCACACACACACACACACACACACACACACACACAATAGGAATTATGGGAAATTGAAATGATTATTCAGTTATGCCATTTTCTGCCTACTTTCTCACTGACTGCATTTTTTTCTGCAGCTACCTGTTCCCTGATGATAGAAAAGTCACCAAGCACAAAACTCTGGTAATAAAAAGGAGTGTTAACCCTCAGTGGAATCATACTTTCATGTTCAGTGGCCTGCATCCCCAGGATATAAAGAATGTTTGCCTAGAACTTACCATCTGGGACAAGGAGGCTTTTTCCAGCAACATGTTTCTTGGAGGAGTTCGTTTGAATTCTGGAAGTGGTGAGGAACTTGGAGACTCTGATTTGGTCTGTGACTCTGCATAGTGTTTGGGAGTGATTCCTGAAGGTTTGGTATGTAGTAGGAATATATGTAACTTCAGCATAGCTGAGTCCTGAAATTTCCACAAATGTCCCAATGACTTTAGCCAATGATCTGTTCATTTTTAAAATAAATATACTACTATACAACTTTATATCCTTCAACTAGAAGTTTGGGATGGATAATTTTTATTTTCATTATTTTCACAAAATATCATTTACACTTTAGTCTAAGTGAATTTCAACTGCTTTTTTGGGTCTTACTTTAGGTTTTTCCCAGGAGAGAATCACCAGACAACACAGGCTCTGATAGGGGAGAGAATGTCCAAGATCAACTTTATTTCATCCTCTTCTCATCCCTGTCCAAAATTTGCAGCCATTACTCACACTAGTTAAAACAAAATAATTTTTCCCTAAAAAGGAACATCTGATGTTTTGCAAACAGACCATTGAAACACACCACTGGTACCACAAGACACAACTATAACAGGGAGAATAATAGAGGAAATTAAAGTAGTGAGGCACAAGCAGACTAGACATACATGTTCTTCATGCACCATGGTCAACGTTCCTGTTAAGAATAATTCCACCCCTATGATGCTCTACTTATTATAGATTAAGGATAGCCTAGAATATCTATACCACTAAAGTGAAAACTCCCCAGGTCAAAGAACTGGAGATGTTAAGAAGAAAGAGCATCAGAGCCCAGTTCAGCCTTTTATTCTGTCATGTTAACTCAATCCAGATGAATTAGCTCTCTGCAAACTATCCAAGTGGGGAAGAAAGAAGCTATGAGTGCCCTCTGGATGATTTTCATCATCTAGGCAGAAGAGAGTAGTGCAGGCTACAAAAGCTGTATTTCATTTTACCACTCACTAGATATAGTTAATGAGAACAAATCAGTGAAATGCTCTGTGATCAAAAGTCCCCCTCAGAGGTCAATAAATGTCTTTCAGAAGACCAAAATATTTAATCTATGAAGAGTAATATTTTCTATTCCCATTTTTAAGGTGTGAGCCATGGGAAGACTGTGGATTGGATGGACTCACGGGGGGAAGAGCAACGCCTTTGGCAGAAGATGACTGACAATCCTGGGACTCCTGTAGAGGGTATACTCATGCTTCGTTCCAGTATGGGGAAGCGTCCAAAATGAGACATTCTGGGACTGTTTGGCTGTAGCAGGATTGGGTCCTAGGCTTTCTCTTCCCTAGCATTTCTTACTTGAGGGCATTAGGACATGATAGGAGAGATGTCAGTGTGATGAACATTTAGGGTCTTGCTGAAAATCAATAAAAGCATGTATCACTATATGACAATGTCCATGGATATCTTGATTGGATGATAGAAAGTGTGCCACATTATTCTGTCAACAAGCAAATTGTGTAATGGTGATAGGTTTTAAACCATAAAGGAAATGGTTGGTGCAAGCATATTTGACACTATGGTTGAGGTTGGGAATCCCACACTTTTTCTAGTTATTAGTTACTTTAGGTTTCCTTAAAGGTTTGAGGGGGAAATGGGGCCACTCAAAATGTAGATCACTTGAAGAGTAAGAAGAAGGGATACTGGCTCCTCATCCTGGGAATTCTCATGATTCAAAGAAGGTGTGTGGGGATGGTTGCTGAGACAAGGGGTTTGCCTTGTTATTTTAGCAATTCGGTGGCTCACCTAGGTAAGTTTTCAAGTTTTTCTGTAGTGACTATATAATTTATAATCTAAATAAATCCACCTTTGATAGTGAAGGAAGCTAAATTATTATACCAGAATGACATACATAAACCAATATTGACTGGGGAAATTTGGATATAAGGTCACTCTAGTTTTGGCCTACCTATTAGAGAGCTCTGTTGTAAACATGTATTTTATAAAATGTTCTAAGCCATTAACTGAAAGGGAATAAGAAATAATGTACACTTTGAGCAATGTTTGCATCATGTCTATTCATACTCCATTGGTCAAAGAAAGTCACATGGCCCATCCCAAAATCAAGATGCAGGAAAATACATTCTCTCATAATGAAACCTTGGGAAGATTGAGAATACAAGAAGGAATGAAGAATCATGGCCAATAGTTCAATCTACATACATTCTGTCACCTGAAATTCCAGATGCTTAACCAACCGAACTTAGATGTAAAGGTTGTTAAAGCTGAGAGGTGCTTCAGACCTGATTCCACATTTTGCAGATTCCAAATCTGAACCCAGAGAGCTGAAATCATGTGCCCACAATCATCTAGAAGCTGTGACTATATTCAGTCTTAAATTCAGTGTGTAACTCCTAAGCCAGTGTTCTTTCCACTGAAGTCTTTAGCATGATTCTATGCTTATTATGGTGGACAGTAGGAAATAAATGAAGAAAGATGGAGCAAATTCTGATTATTTAAATAAGAACATACTCCACCTAGTCTTTTTTTGGAGTCATATTTTAGCCCCTCAGCTTATTTTTTTCATTTGAACTCATATAAAATCCTAAAAAGGATAGTAACTGAATTTTAGTAGTAGGAAAACTAGAATCATCTTCTGGTTTACTCTAGCTCAATATTCCATATTCTAATTTTTTTTCTTGATTTAAGAATATATTTACTATTATTCTTAATAAGGGAATAAGCAACCCACTTTAAATATTGTTAAAATAAACTAATTCTAAAAAAATGAAGTTAATGGTCTAGTGTAGCTTAGTATATATAGTATATTTTCTTAAAAACTCACACCTATATCCTTGTTACCTTTCTCAAAAACAGAAAATAAAAAATTTAAAATAATCATAACTTTCTATATTGGAAAAATAAATTGTCATCAAACTTGATGTGATTCATTCTGTCTTCAATGGCATTTTTAGGGGAGGTGAAAGGGTGATGATGGTAAAGTGTGGAGACATCTCTAAAGTAGACAAATGAAGTGGATTTCTTCAATAATAAGGAAAGTGAAAAAGTAATATATTCCACAATTTATAACTTGAACTCAAGACAAGTATGAACATTTTGTTCAAAACTCCTCCACATTTAGAGCAATTCTCTGTATCATCTATACTAATAAAAGGGTAATATGCTAATTAGACCAGAAATCTTCCGGACATCCTTCAAGACAAAGCCATGGTGGTAGGGCTGAGGCAGAGGCAGTTAGATGTGATCAGGATAGCAAGGGAGAGCAATTAGGGGAAACCAGGCTGGCAGGGGAAGCCAGTTAGGCGTGACCAGGCAGGCAGAGAGGTTAGGGGCAACCAGGAAAGCAGGCAGAGGTGGTTAGAGATGATCATCCAGTAGGGGAACAGTTAGGGGCATCGGAAAGGCAGGCAGAGTGGTTAGGGGTGATCAGGCAGGCAGACAAGTGAGTGGTTAGGAGCCAGTGTTCCCAGATTGTAAGAGGGTGCAGGCCAGGCTGCATGAATTTTGTGCACCGGGCCTCTAGTGGTTTTATCAAAACTAATATCTAATTGGGCATTTCTATGATGCAAAACTCAGGTATGCATCAGAAATCTGTTGGTGTTTCAGAAATAAAAAATAAATTAGTCTTTAAGTCACACTTTTTTTTGTCTTTACTAAGTATGGTGTAGAAGTACAAAGAACATTTTTAAATAATGGTATTATGTGTGAATGAAACAAAATTCAAATAATTAAAATTGTGAAAAGTAAGTCATCCCTTCTCCCCTTACATATCAGAATATATTGACAGCCTCATTCTTTTTTATGGCTACCCAGTATTACAGTATAGGGATACATCAAATTTATTTAACCAGTCCTATCAAATGTCATTTTAAATATGGTTAGTTAAACTGTCTATGTTTGGTGGCTTTTCTAAGCAGTCTTTTCTTTTCAAAAATAAATACTTTGAAATTTAAAATGAGGTGTGTGCATGTGTGTGCACAAAATGTAGCAATTTCACTTTGGGATTGTTATCCTACAGAGAAAGATGCATTTGTGAGAAATTAATATGTATAGGGAATTTATTGCAAAAGATTGGAAGCAACCCCAGTACTTGGTACCATCATCCACTCAGTTATATTGACTTGGCACTGGGTAGTGATCTTTAATTTATGGCTTGCCTTGAGGCAAACTCAATAAGGAAACCATATTGATTCTTCCTCCTAAATATCTCAAAATCTTGTTCAGTTCTTGCCATCTCCATGCCAGTACACTAGTCCAAGCTACTATTTCCCTTTTCTATGATTATTAAAAGTCCTAGCTGCTATCCATGTAGCCAATCTTGTTCTCCAACAATCCATTCTTCATACTGTAGCCAGATTTCCCCAACATGTTATTTTTAAATGTTTAAACATGCAGAAAAGTTGAAATGATTTTACATTAAACATTCTTATACCTACCAGCTAAATTCAGCTTCTACCATTAGTTGTATTTCCTTATCATTATCTATCTTCCCATCCCCAGAGTGTTCTATTAAAATGCAAATTGGATCATGCTTTAAAACCTATCATGGCTTTTCATTCCCCTGAGAATAAAATCAAAATTCTTGCCCATGGCCTGCCAGTCCATGCAAATGATGGTTGCTGCATTCTCTCCAACTTGTCCCAAACCATGCCTCCCCTTCCCTTCCCTTTAGTCACACAGTGCACTTTTCTCCTTCTAAATGTGGCAGGCTCTATCCCATCTCATGTCCTTTGCAATGAATCTTCTTGCTCTTTCTCATCAGCCTGACTTCCATTAATCACCTAGGCCTTAAATGTTATCTGCTCAGGGAGATTGTTCCTAAACATCTTTTATCTGACTAGGTCACAACAGTCTCCCTGTATAGCTCCTTTATGGCACACATCACAATTTTAATAAACTAGAGGCCCAATGCAGGAAAATTTGTGCACTCAGGGGGTCCCATTGCCTGGCCTGTGCCCTCTTGCAGTCTGGGAGCCCTCAGGGGATGTCCACCTGCCATCTTAGGCCAACTCTCTGGGGGTTCAGGCCTAGGCTGGAAGTCAGACATCCCTCTGGAAACCTGGGATCCCTTGGGGGATGTCCAACTGTTGGCTTACGGGAGCTAGTCTAAGCCATCAGTCAGACATCCTTAGTGCTGCTGAGGGAGGTGGGAGAGACTCCTACCATTGCCACTGCATTCACAGCCATCAGCCTGGCTGGTGGCTGAGTGTGAGAGGGCAGGGCGGGGTGAGGATGAGCTCCCGACTCCGCCCCGCAGGGCAGAGTTATCCCTAGCCCTCACCCAACCAATCAGTGACATCACCACCGACCGGAGTAAAACCCCTGGACTGGGCAAAACTCGCTCTCTTCCGTCATGCTGCCGGTGTGGTACAGAGCCCATGCTAGCATGGAAGAGGCTCTTTTGTTTATTGCATCGGATTCGGCTCCTTGGTGGTGCTTGGGGCTCATGAAGTCTGGGCGTAACATATGGGGGCTCGTCTGAGATCCCCAGCCAGGACCATGAGGGACCCCCGATCCGGAGAGCCTGACTGGCCATGGTAGGTGTGCGTGTGTGTCTGTGTTTTTGTGTGCACATTCTGGAGGGACGTAAAACCCCTTGTGGAATTGGTGCCCGAATACGCCTGGTGGACGCACCATGAAGGCCACGGGCAGGAGGTTTCAGAAGACGTTCTGACCTCCCGGGAGGGCCATAGAGGGACCTCGTGGAGAGAGGAATTGAAGCCTCTCCCAGGACAAGTTGAGCAGCGTGAGCCGTTGCCTCACCTTCGGAACCTTTCCCAGGTCTGAGTTTGGTATCTGCGGGCAACATGGCGCCCCAGGATGAAGCCGGCGAAGTGTGGCCGGTGTGGTGGTGCGGGGCCCTCTGGTGGAGTTGGGTCAGAGGGGGGGCTTCCGCGTGGCTCAGTCTGCGTGTTGGAGTGTGGCTGGGCAGTGGTGGCCTTGCACGGGGAGCAGGCACTTGGGTTAATTTGCTGGCTGCCTGGAGAAGGGGAGGTGGAGCCGGGAAGCCGCTGGAGTGACCCGCACTTTCTCCTCGGGGGCTGCCTGAGTAGCGTGGCTGGGGTGGCTGGGGTGGAGGCAGCAGCCTGCTCTGGGGGCCTGGGCCAGGGGGGCCTGGGCTGGCGTGGAGGCATCGGGTCCGGGAGAAGAGCTCAAGGGCGAATCTCTGTGCTCAGTAAAGGGAAAAGGCCAGTTCAAAACGAGTGCGCATAGTTTTGGGCTGTGCTTAAAACCCTTTTCTGTGACAGAATGAGTTTTAAAAGTGGTGGA